GTGTAGTCCTGGCCAGTTGTGCTCCTCTGCCCATGTGCCCAACAGCATGGACTCATTGCCACCTGCAGGGACCCTCCATGCAGGACTCCAGCTTCTGCTTCAGAAAGGCCTGATGTCCTGAAAGCCTGGACAAACGAGCTGTGTTGGGTGATGCTGAAGAGGAAAAGGGGTTCTATGATTCTATGAGCCAAAATGTTCTTAATCTCACTTACAAGCCATTAGGTCCACAACCATATAAAGTGTTGTGCTGCCAGGGTAGGAGAGAAACTGCCTTGGCAAGGGCAGTGATTCCTGAGGCTTATTAGTCTGCTTAGTGCTTAGGAGTAGCTGGGAGCTGTGCTCTAGTTATTATTGTAATTGAATAATTTAAAGTTTCCTTCCTTTCAGCCAGCAAGTCTGTAGCTGGGATTCTGATTTCAGACCATCCTGTCAATTACCATCTTACTTACACCTTTCCTGCTCCCCAGAGGCCTGTTACTCCAGTTTTTAGCCCTGTTTTCAGGACAGGAGGATGGGAATTGGGCACATACATGCTGCAGCCTTTTCTTTCCACTCTTCTCTAAGAGTTCCAGAGTCTCAGTGAGACCCCTCAGTTTCACACTGCTTGTGGCTGAAATCCCTGGGCAGGCAGAGCTTGCAGAAACCTCTGTGCTCACACTGAGATAGCCAATAAGGGCACAAAAAGCCAGGAGCTTTTCTTCCACATGTCTGTGATGCCATGGCAAAAGTGGCCCTTTTTCTATCAGGGTTATTTAAATGTCTTTAAGAAATTGGCTTCTAAATCTTCATAGCTTTTGCAGTTTGATGATTTTCCTTTTTAAAGGTTGCTGCTGCCTGCCTTATGTAAATGGTTTCAACAACTCCTTCAACCCCCAAACTGGCAGACATGGACTGGCCAGCTGGAAGAGAGCAGGGTGATTATTGCCTGTTCTACACCCACAAGCCATAATTGATGCTAGAAGAAGAACTAAAGGAGCCAGGCTGCTTCCCTGTGTCAGCTGTAGAACACAACAAAGCTGCCCTGCTTCCCAGTGAAGGGTGTTCATGCCCTGGAGCTGCACTCCCAGCAGTGGTGCTGGAGGTTTTCCCTTCCATCTGGGAGTAGTAACTTCTTTTTTCAACAGCTTTAGGCAGTGGGCTGAATCTGTGCAGGATCTGCATCATCTCTGCTGCTGCTTTGGACCCCTGTCCAACCGAGTAACCGTCTCTTTTTTGCTCTCATTCTTCTAGGGATATCCATGCCCATTCCAGTCATTGGTTTGCAGGATGACTCCAGGGTGTTTGTGAATGGGACCTGTGTCCTCAACGACGAGAACTTTGTCCTCATTGGATCCTTCATGGCGTTCTTCATCCCTCTCATCATCATGGTGATCACATACTGCCTGACTGTCCAGGTGCTGCAGAGACAGGCGACTGTGTTCATGTGTGGAGAGGTGCCCAAGCAGAGGAGGAGCAGCGTAAACTGCCTCAAGAAGGAAAACAACACAGAGAACATTTCAATGCTTCACAATCACGAGGGGGCATCTCACTTGAACTCTCCTGTGAACAAGGAGGCCGTGCTGTTCCGGAAGGGAACCATGCAGTCCATCAACAACGAGCGAAGAGCCTCCAAGGTCCTGGGCATCGTCTTCTTTTTGTTCCTCATCATGTGGTGCCCATTTTTCATCACTAACGTCATGTCTGTCCTTTGCAAGGAAGCCTGTGACAAAGACCTCTTGAGTGAACTCCTGGATGTGTTTGTTTGGGTGGGGTACGTTTGCTCTGGGATTAACCCCCTTGTCTACACACTCTTCAACAAAACGTACCGCAGGGCTTTTTCCAATTACATCCGTTGCCAGTACAAGACCAGTAAAAAATCAGCCCTGAGGCAGAATCAGTGTCTGAATGTTGCTTCAACAGCTTTATATGGGAAAGATCTGACTTTAACTAGTTACCGGAATGGCAACGAGTTCAATAGCATGGAACTAGATGAAGTGGAGGAGGGCCTGGAAATGCAACCAGGGACTTCAGAGCTCTCCATCAACAGCTGTAACGTTGTAAGCGAAAGAGTGAGCTGTGTGTGAAGGTGTCTCACACAGCCTTTTGCTACTGGGTGTCTGTAGCCAAAATATAGTGTGTAAAAATGTGTTTGGTCCAAGGACAATGTAAATATTGCATTCTGAACAAAGCGCTTTTTTTTTTTTTTTTTTTTTTAGGAAAAAAAGAAAAGGAAAAAAAAAAAAAAGAGTTGTCTTTCCAGTCCATGTACTTAAAATATCTATTAATATACTGCAGTGAAGTTTAAGGTTCTATATTTACTGTTAATACTAGATCAGAACTATTAGTTACTTTGCATATGTCATGGACAAAAATGTTTGAATTCTTCCAGTGCATGAGCAAAAATTCTGAATATTTATCTCAGGTGGCATTTGCTGGAGTCCAGAATGGCACGTTAATAGTTATATATCAAATACATGCTATTAGACTTGGTCAGTATAACTTTTATTTTTCAAGTTGACAGTAAATATGTACTTTAAATCCTCACCCCTACTTGTGCCGTGTACAGACTGTACAGAAACCTGGCAGAGAGACAGCATGGAAGCAGCTCTGCAGGCACCTGGCCAGACATGTCCTGTTACAGGTAGTGGGTTGTTGCCATGCTGGGGCCACTTTGCACTTCAAGGGACCTCTGTTCAATTTTGACTCCCTCTCCAATCCTGCTGTTCTCCCCCTGTTAGAGAGGAGGCTCTGGCTCCCCTAAGGAAGGTGGGGAATGCAATCCTGGTGTGGTTCTGCATTCTTGACTGGGATCACTTGCACACTTGGAGAAGAATCATGAGGAAGAGAGGGAAGCCCAGTTATCTGCTTGGCTCATTTTCTTAATGGGTTTATAAAAAGCTCTCCTTTGGTCATCTAGGTAATCATCAGCTCTGGGATGGAGCAAGCTGTGCCCAGCATGGCACTGCCTTCCCAGATTTCTTGGATGATCAGGGTCTTTGGTTGACGTGGAGAAGAGTGCTCTGGCTTTGTAAGAGCTCTTGACTTTGCAGTCCTCACACCTATTTAATTCTCAGCTTGTTTAGCATTTGTGTTTGTTTTTGAACATCCCAGGCCTTGCAGTGCTGCTGGTAGACCAGTGCTCTGGGTGTGGAGCAGGGGCTGCTGTGCCTGTGGTGCTGGTTGGGGTCAGGCTGTGAGGTACAGGATGCACCTCCCTGGAGGCATAAACAAGGCTCCCTGCTTATATTTTCTGTCTCAGGAGGGGGTGGGAAGAGCTGGGCTGGAATAACTTGCTGATAATGGGGTTCAAAAGCAAACACTGACTAGGGACAGGAAGGAAGCACACCTGGAGCTGGTCTACATGGAAGATTAATCTGGATTAACTTCTACATTTTATTTGTTCCATTTCACTCCCAAAGTAAGACACAGTGTATTGTATTAATGCCACCTGCATCTTAGTGAAAGCACCCACATTGGGATTTAATGCAGCTTAAGTAGTGTGTTTTTAATTCACACCACATATAATTCAAATTAATTTTCCTCTGTGTTTCTGTGTAGACAAACCCTCCAAGGCATCCTGACTTTGTGGCACTGTGCCTCTCATGCAATTTTCCTCGTGTATGGTATTGTCTGATGCCAGATATCACCTGTAAGGTTTTTACATCTTCATTAACTACTACACAAATGCTGCAGTGCCCATCTGACACGGATGCATTCAGCACCACTGTCAGCCTCTGCTAGGAAGGTCCTCAGAAGAGGAGACCTTACACTAGGCATTGTAGGGTATTGTCTGATGCCAGATATCACCTGTAAGGTTTTTACATCTTCATTAACTACTACACAAATGCTGCAGTGCCCATCTGACACGGATGCATTCAGCACCACTGTCAGCCTCTGCTAGGAAGGTCCTCAGAAGAGGAGACCTTACACTAGGCATGGATAAGCTGCATTTTACTAGCAAGAATTGCTTGTACTCTAAGCTTGCTGTGTTCATCCCACTAAAATTGCTTGCAGAAGAACTGGAAAATTGTGCTCGTGCTGTAGCGGAAGGTTGTGGTGTTGCATTGCAGGGTTCAGCAACAGCCTGAACATGCTGCCAAAACACAACATACGGGTTGCATCTGCTGCTGGGTTGTCCCCAGCTCGATGTGTTGAAGCTGATGGTCCTCTCTTCTCCCTCATCCCCTCCTGGGGAAAATCCATAGTACTTCCATGCAGGCGGGTGAGATGTCCCAGTGCAGAGTGTGGTTTATGGATTGCAGCAGGCAGCAGAGATGCACCATGTGCCTGCTGATACTGCCATGGGCTTGAATGCTTGGGGATCCACTTGCCTCTTCATAAAGTCTGGAAGCCAGTGGGAAAAGGACTGGCCAGAGACACAAACTTGTGCCTTCAGTGACTGCCCTTTGCTCTGAGTCTGATTTTACTATCTCAAACAGTACAAAAGAAATCAGAAAGATCCCATGGCTTTTTAAGTTATTTTCTTTTTTTTTTTTCCTTAGGTGAATTCATAGCACATCTTTCCCAGTCGTGTGTGTGTGTACATATATTTATACATATATATATATATTTAAAAGCCAACCACAGACTTTTAAAGCATTTAGCAATAAGTTGAATTACGTTAGCTTCTAGCATATGTATGAATAGGTCATGTGTGAACAGCACATTTTCCAGAAACACCATTATCCTCAAACTCAGTGTAAGTCCACACAGGCATTGTCTTTCCATAGGAGCCTTCATGTCTTACCCTTGCTGGTTCTGTTGTATGGGCAAAAAAGGAACCTACTATATTTGGATGTAAATAATGGGAATTAAACAGAGAATTTACAGAATTTTTATAAGTGTTTTTAAAAAATACATCACCAGAAGTGTAAATAAGTCAAGCAACTCAACTGGACCCGTACTGATGTATGTCACTTGTTGAGATAAAGAGACAAGGGGACTGCCTTACAGCACCTGCCTTCTCTCCTGGCCAGAGGGTGATAAGATTTCTTGTGAATGGTTAAATACTGTCACTTACCCAGCTTCCTTTGGGTCATTCACATCAGGGTTTTGTGATGCTGCTATTAATTTATTAAAGAAAGTTTGTTGGTTTAATCACTCTTTATTTATTTATTTATTTATTTATTTTTCATGGTCTGCCAGAAAATAAACAAATGAATGTACCCTCTCTTGCTTTCATCTGTCACCAATTAAAATCTTTCCTGAATGAAAAATATGGCCTGGCCCAAAAAAAGCAAACAACAACAAAAAGTGAGGATAAAGGTCAGGATAACTTTCACACCCCCTTCCACACTTGAAGTACAGCCCACAGTTGTTTAATCACAGAAATTAGTGTCAGCAGATAAGCCCAATGTTTCAAACACCAAAACTTGCTAAATACAAATACAGTGATTAACTGTTTCCCCTCTTCTCCTTGCTCCATTCAGGAATAGCTGTTAAAAATGGCATTTTTTAAATTACCTGAATTTGAGGAATGGAATTAGTTCTCTGCAACTTAATCAAGGTCAGGTGGGCCCCTCAGCAGCTGTGCTTCTCCTGAGCTGCAGCCATGAAGCCTGATGGAGCCTGAGGAAGCCCTGGGGCTGCCTGGTGGGATTGCCCCTTGGAAGTTCGGTGTGTGAGTTCTCAAACCTCTGCTCAGGTACAGTTTTGTCTTACAGATAGTGTGTGGTGGTGTTTTGCTTGGAGTTTGGGCTGAACAAGTGAAAATAGTTTCTTGGCAGTGGTGCTGTGGGCTGCAATGTGTTGGTTGCTTTGTTTCCTGGAGCAGATGTGAGAGGAGCAGGCAGGCTGCCCGCGGGGTGTGCACGGGGAGGCTCTGCCCAAGCACTCAGTCCACCTGGTTTGACTTGCACTGGGGAGTCTAGTCACGGGTCAGCCCGTGACCTGGCACGTTCCTGAGCTATAGGGGCTTGCAATCTTCCCCACCAGAGGCCAGAAACGAGTCTGGCCATGTTTGCTCAGGCACAAAGCCTTGTGGCTGAGCAACCTGGTTCGTCTGCCTCTGTGTCATGTTGCCCCACACGGCCAAGTCTGGGGTGTAGTGTCCATGGAGCCAGCCTTGGTGTCTTTGCAGCCTTCTGAGGGCCTCAAAGGCTGTCCTTTGAGGACAAAGGCCTGCTCCTTCAGTCTGTGCTCTGTGAAGATAAGCAAAGCTACCCAGAGGCTGTGGCCTTTTGGAGGCGAGATGGTTCAGAGCCAAAGCTGAGGAGCCTCAAGGCTTCTCACCTCAGCACAGCTCTCCTTGTTTAATGACTTAGGAGTCAGCAGTGGTTTTTATCTGAGTAATACTATACAGATGCTAATGTCAGGTGATGTGTGAGTAGTCAGTGTGAACAGTGTGGTTAGTGCCTTTTTCTCCACAGAGACACTCAACCATGAGTGCCTTTCTTCTGGACAGCCCTACAAAGAGTTCCATCACCGGTGTAGAGCGTGGCCTGTGCTCTTCCCTTGACTGCAGTCATCTGGTGTGCTGGAGCCATGAGGGCCCTGGATACAGAGACCCAAATTCCAAAGGAATAACACATTTTAAAGGAAAAAAGCAAATCACAAGCAGCTCTTCAGAAATACTGGTTAGCTTTGAACTAATGACGAGTGACTGAGATTCTTGCAGGCAAGTGATGCCAACCTGGCGTGCCAAGAGCAGTGTCTGTCATGTGAGAAAGATGCAGATGTCTCTTGGGTGGATTCCCTCCCTGAGGCACAGTAGGGTTAGGATAAGCTACATACTAAGCCAAGAAGTGAACTTGACTTTGGATCCATTTTAGACTGGGGTGGAAAAGGCATTAGAAGCTTTTTCCTGGGAACAAGCGTGCAGAGACCTTGGCAGGCACAGCAGAAGAACAGAGATGGACAGATGTTTGCACACATCTGCACACACGAACACACACATCCCAGAACTCCCAGAGAGCAACAGATGTCATCATGCTTCAGTCTTCTCTCGAAAAAATGGGAATATCTGAACAGCCTGGGATGAAACCTGTGCTGGGGGGATCAAAGGCAGCTGTAGGTGTCACCGCGGCATGTGGGCTGTTCTAGGGACCATGTAGTGGTGTTGGGGGGGGGGTGTGCACCAAAAAATGCTTCAAGTTTTTCATTTTTAAACATGAAATTGTTATTGAATGCTCTGCCTCTCCCTCATTTTTCTGTAAGTCTCAGGTCTTGTTTGCTCTTTCCCCACACTGGAACTTGTGCCCTGAAGCTGTGAGAAGCTGACTGCTGTCTGTGTGACTTGTTGTTCCCTCTCAGCTGTGCAGGGAGGCTGCAACCTCACAACAACGTGGAGATAAGAGAGG